TGGCCCCGCGGCTCCGCTGAGAGCCGCCTTCCGCGCTCTGCGGCCCCCTGCTCGCCCCCGCCGCCGCTTTCCCTCTCCTACGTCCAGGCCTTCCCCTCCCTCCTCGCGCCCCGCCGCGCGTGGCGCCTCCGGACCCAAAGGCACTGCCGATTGAAACCAACAGGTATTTGGGCACTGCTTTGGATCAGGCCTGCCTTTTGCCCGTTTTGAATACCACTTTCTCTTCCTGCTCCGTGATTTAACTCTCGTGATCACAAAACGCCGGCCCCTTCAGGTCACACAGAATCCAGGCACTAACTGGCCTCCTCATCAGTGCGCTCTCATTAGGCCTTTAATGGTTGCACCTGCTTTCCATCCACTAATGCTTCTTGTCACTGGCTTCAAAACTCTGCAACGCCTGCTCCGTCCTCCAGATGAAATGACCCATTTTGCATTAACCTCAGTAGCCTGTTTGTAAGCATCTCATAAAAACTGTTAAAAAGTGATCCACAAAATAAATTTAAAAAAAAAACCAACCCTGCTAGAAGCTATTACTGACATATACTGTACAAATACAGGGTACATACGTGACAACTGCTCCTGCTCTGCGATGGGGGTGCTTGCAGTCTTTCCCAGCAGTTTTTTTTAAGACCAAATATTACTACAAGAGTGGGAGCTTTTTGTGGATTATTAACTTTGCTCCATATAACATTACAATCAGCTAAGGGTGATCAACTGATAAATACACCCCAAATGGCTTTTTTATTTCACGTACATACAGAGATCACCAAATAAAAGCATTAATCACAACTGTTGGGCACTGTCTGTCCCCTGCCTAGCAAGCAATCCCTTCACTCCCCCCCATGCCCGCTTTGCAGCTACTGTTTGATTACATCTCATTCACCAATGCAGGCTTTGTAAAAAATGTACCTCTTCCAAAGAGTAAGAGGAACATTACCTCTTCTGACTGGAGGCAGAAGTTCAGGGCCAGGCTGGCTGTTTCAGCTAGGAGAAAAAAACCTTGTGATGGAGTCTTTTGATTTGTTTGCTTTTGTATATTCATTTGCCATTAATATAAATGATTAAAAGCGCAAGGCAAAAGGGAGAAGATAACTTTTAACCTGACAACCTCACACTGCTGTAGGTCTGCAGTCTCTGCTCAGCCCTGGCTAGGACTGTTTAATATCTTCATCGATGACATAGTGGGATCGAGCGCACCCTCAGCAGATTTGCAGATGACACCAAGCTGAGTGGTGCAGTTG